CGAGTTGCACTTTGGAGCCCACACTGAAATGAGAGGGCTGAGCCCAGGTTTGAAAGCAGGGCTGCTGGGCAGATCTGCCCACGCCAAGCAGAGCCAGCCCAGGGCCCAGGCTTCTTGCATGGAGCAGGTGGAGCTGTGACCGGGGACCCGGCCCAGGGTCCTGGCATCCTGTAACCCCTGGGGACACACTCCTACTTGATAGGCTGGGGCACCCAGGAGGGACTGACATGGCTGCAGCACTCTCTTGTTTCCCCTCCAGGTACCTTCTCCCATCCTGGACATGAAGTTATCACCAAAGCGGGTAAGTGTCCCTTCTGCTTGTCCCTAAAACGGTCCAGGGACAGGGGCCAGCTGGTCCCAGCCACTCTGCCGGGTCCCTTGGCCCCAGGGGGGCTGCACATTTAGGGAATGGGATGCTGCCAGGGCATTAAGGGAGTGGCAGGCTGTCTCGAACTCTTACTGTCCCCCAGTGTCCCCATCCCAGCACGGGGCAGGGATCTGTTCCCTGCCAGCTCCAGTCTCCAGCCGTGGGTGCTGACTGCCACTGTCTCGCTTGCCTGAGCAGCAGGAGCTGTTTGTGAGCAGCACCCACGGGCTGCTCCAGCTCTCCTTGTACCGCTGCGAGCTCTACGGCAGAACCTGCACCGACTGCTGCCTGGCCAGAGATCCGTACTGCACCTGGGACAGCAGGAGCTGTGCCCCACACCTGCTCACCGAGAAGAAGTGAGTGTATGCCCACACCAGCCCTGCATCCCTCTGCAAGTCGATGCTGTCTTGGAGCAGGGAAGGACAAGCGGCAGTCCTGGAGCTTTACCCATCAGCCAGACCCCTGCTGCCGCTCTGCCTGCCGGCCACTCACCCTTTCCTGGTCCCGTTCTTGAGGCATTGCCACAGAGGGATCCCACAGCCTGGGATGGGACAGCCACAGCCCTCTCTGCTCTCCCACAGGCGTGCCCGCTGCCAAGACGTGCTGGAAGCTGACCCGCTCCGGCAGTGCCAGGACACGGCAGAGGGTGAGTGCCAGCTCCGGCGGCAGCCCGCTGTACCCAGGGAGCGCCCTGGGAAACCAGTGCCCCCACCGCGGGCTGGCTACTCCGTGCTGCCCTCCCTCCCTCCAGTCACACAGCCCCCCTTAGGGTACTCACCCTCTCCCCTGCAGGATCCGCTGTGGTGGACAAGGTGGTTTTTGGGGTGGAGAAGAACTCGACCTTCCTGGAGTGCCTGGCGCGCTCCCCGCAGGTCACGGTCCGGTGGCTGGTGCGGCGCGGCGAGGAGACAGCCCCGAGCGAGGTATGGGGACAGGGAGCAGGGACGAGGAGCAGGGGTGGCTTTATCCCCAGGGACTGACCCACGAGCTCTGCCTTTGCCCCAGGTCAGGAACAACGGGCGTTTCTTGGTGCTGGAGCAAGGGCTGCTGATCCGCCAGCTGGCGAGGGAGGACATGGGCACCTACGAGTGCCAGGCGGTGGAGCGCTCCTTCTCCCGGCCCCTCACCCGCTACAGCCTCCGCATCATCGGGCACGAGGCCACGGAGCTGCCACCGCACAGACGGAGCAAGGGCGGTGAGCCGGGAGAGACCCATCAGAGCCCCCGGGCCCGGACTGACCTGCACCCCGGCTCCAAGGGCTTCCCGCGGGCCCTGGGGGCACCGGGCACCAGCCTGGACGCCTACTGCCAAGCCCTGCGGCTGCAGGAGCGCCAGCGGCAGCGAGCCTGGCACAAGTGGCAGCATCCATCCCCGGACAGCAAGAACGGCCGGGTGCGGAGGCACCCGCAGCGCCCGTGAGGGGCAGAGGGAGCCAGGGCTGCCCACAGCTCCCTCCCCGGGCTCTCCAGGGCCCTCCTCGCAAGTCGGCACCAGCTCCGGGACACCTCTCGCCGTCCCCTGCAGAACCGCCTCGCTGTTACTACCTCAAGCCCCGCCAGCCCCGCGGCCTTTCCGTGCCCCACGGGGCACCGGGGCCAGGGCACGCAGTCCGCGCCGGCTCTTTGAGACTCAAAGCTATTTACCTGCAGAGTATTTATTTTCCTTGTTTTCCCCTGGCCTTGACTGATGATCATCAGCAACAATAATAAGCACAGAGGACAAGGGCCAGCTGTCCCTGGCCAGCCGTGCAATGCCTCCCTCCATTCTGGAGGCGGCAGGATGCTCACCTGGGTGGCTGCTGAGGTGTGGATGGAGCCCAGGTGCTGCTGGAAGCAGCAGGACACAGGTGCTGCTGGAAGCAGCAGGACACAACTGCTGGGTGGGGCTGGGCTCCAGGTGCGCAGAGATGCTCACGCCCAGCCCAGCTCCAACTCACTTCAAACAACACCACTTTTCTTTTTTCATTTTCACATTTATTTTACTGGGAAAAAAAAAAAAAAAAAAAGAAAGAGAAGCAACAGGCAGTTATACCAACTTACAATTTATTATTTTTTAAAAAAATGACATGAAACACAAGTAAAAATAAATACATCATATAAACAACAAATTGTTCAAAGTCTCTGTTCTGGGAGATCAGGCGAGCACATCCCGTTCGACAGAGAGAAGAGGGAAGCACATGATCATGCGTGGGGCCAACCGACCGACCCACCTGGCTAGCAATACTCCTCTTTCCAACCACAACAAGACAGGCCACAAACTAAGGCGGTAGTAAAAAAAAAAGAAAAGGAAATAAAAAGAAACCCAACAGAAAACCCCAAATGAGACTCAGTGATGGATTTCTTCAGGCTCCCACAGATCTGCCTGACTCCAGCTCCCAGCTGGGTAACACGAAGCAGCCGAGGCAGTGGTGGTGGTCCAGGAGGGGGCAGAGGTTGCTCTCCCTCACTTGCCCCATCGTCCCTTCACAGGGAGTGCTTGCTCCAAGGTGCAAGGAGCCATCCTTCACTGTAATCTAGCTGGACTATGGACTATGGTCCCTGTTCAACCTCTGCCCCCTCCCCAGCCCTCCCCCACCCCCAGTCTTTTCAAGACTGGATCAACAAAATTTATTCCAGAGTGGTGACAAATACCAGCTGTGAAGGTATTTGCTGTACTTGTCCGTCACCCCCAAACCAGCAACAATCCTTGCACATTCAGCCTCTTGAATTTGTTGCCCAGAGAAGCTGTGGCTGCCCCATCCCTGGAAGTGTCCAAGGCCAGGGTGGACAGGGCTTGGAGCAACCTGGTCTAGTGGAAGGTGTCCCTGCCCACGGCAGGGGGCTGGAACGAGACAATCTTTAACATCCTTTCCAGCCCAAACCATTCTATGATTCACTGACATCATTAAGTCAAAATACACATAATTTCTAGTGAAGACCCTACGGAAATCCCACCCTTTGCTTGCCAAAATATTTGCTTTCTCCAAGTAGCTGCACCCGCTTTCTCCAAGTAGCTGCACCCAACCTCCCCACCCTCAGACACTCCAGGACAATGTGCAGCAGATCCTGCCCAATATGGGCCAGGTTGGGCTGTGTTGCCCCCACCCTGCAGCCCTTCAGGAAGCCCCAAGGGCCACATCAGCAGTGGGGGCAACAAGCCCACCAAGCCCAGGGCACAGAGCAGCAGCAGCTGCCCCGTGCCCATGGCACTGTCCCACAGTGGTACCCAGCCTTCACCCAGCTGTCCCTAGGACAGCAAACCTCCCACCGAAGGTAAGGGTTGAGGGCTGGGTGCCAGTGTAGAGGGCAGCTGACCATTCTCATGGCCCCCACAGATCTGCCCTGGCCTTGGGCTGTGCTCAGAAATCTTCCTTACTGTCCAAACCCCTCTGCAGAGAGTCCTGCATTGCTGTCCTCAGTGTCACCCGCAGCCCCTCTGAGAACCAGCAGCTGCTTCCCATCAGGTCATTCCGAAACAGCAATTCAGTAGCAAAAGAAAAATTTAACCCATGAAGGGAAAGCCCCTTCCAGGCTCGGGAAAATAAGAGAGGACCCTCTGCAGCAGAATCACATGCTGGAGGGGAGAAACCTCTGGGGAGAGCAGACGGGGGAGAAGAGCAGGCCCCACAGGAGGGGCGTTTAAGAGCTCAGAGGGCTCCTCCACACTGGGGATAGCCCACACCTGCCCTGTGGGGCAGAGGAAATCCTTCCCATGGCACCGTGGGGGAGCAGCCCCAGCCACTGCCAGCTCCCATGGGAGCCCTGTGGTCAGGGCATCACGGCCATCTCTGTGACCACCTCAGCTGAGGCTCTGCCAGGGCCCATCCCCTCTCTAAGGTGGGGCCCAGCGCTGGTGGATGGGGCAGAGCTGGGGCTGCACTTGGGCACTTGCTGGTGCAGGGCCCCTGTGCTGCAGGTGCCCAGGGCTGCAGATGTTTGCCAGCAGCAGGTCATGCACAGGGCAGCCACACCACAGGAGGGGTGCACAAGCCATGGCCACACAGGAGGTGGAACAGCTCTCACACCTCACCCTGGTGCTGGGTTAACAGCCAGACTGGAGCACATTCTGCACCCTGGGGAAGCAGAATGCCAGTCATTCTCAGCTCCTACAGCCACAGGGCTCAGGCTCTGCTGGGAGACCACTGGAGAACATTAGGTGGCAGCACAGGGATGCGCCAGGGCCTGTTCTGGAAGCCCTGGGCGCTCTCCTGGAGAGGCAAGGAGCAGAGGTGTGCAGTCACCAGCACCAACATCCAGACCACAGTGCTGACTGCCCCCAGCCACATCTTCACACCTTGTCTCAGCACAGGCCCCATTCAGAGATGACGTGCGAGGGTCGCTTGGGTGAGACCCTCTACCCTGACCCCACAGGAAGGGCTGGGGCGGCCGCAGGGCTCTGGGGGGTCTGCTCATGGTCCCACCTCCCACACACGCCCGCAGGTCTCAACACTTGCTACTCTCGACAAGGAAAGCCCTTGCCTAGGTCCATTCCCCAAATCCACAGGAAAACTGACAGCCTCACAGGGATGCAACGGACATCTGGGCAAGCTGGTCATGAGGTGGACACACAGAGCACAGGAGGGCATGACTCACAGATGCAGCACTGTCAAGTCTTTGGAGAAACTTGCATGAACACCATCAGTTAATTTGCTTTGTTACTTTTGTGGGGGGGTTTGTTTTTTATTTCCATGGTGCATCCAAAGACAAGTTGTCCAGCAGTTTGCTCAGAACCCCTCGGTTTTCAACTCCTAGGATATGTTAAAGAAGAAAGCACTATTTTAATGTTTGTTTTTTTAAAAAAATAATTAAAATAATTTGCATAGCTAAACTGTTGATCTAAGGCTTCTATGAATGGCGTGGTTATGTTTGACAGACAATGTCCATTAAACAGAGAAAGACACTAGGAAAGCCCCGTAACATTTTTTATTGTGTTTCCGTAACACACGCGTGCACACACAACCCTCTCTCTAAGGAAGGGAGCACCCCTTTGGTGGAGGATGTCAGGACATCCTGCCCTTTCCTACACCTACTTGGTCCCAGCAAACACCAGTGACTGCAGTTTCCATGGCTTATGGGTCCCCTACAGGCTACCACCAGCTCCAGGGACATCCAAGGCAGGCGAGCACAGCTCCTGCATGGTGACACCCACATGTGACACGGAGATTTCCTGGATTTCAAGTGTCCATCCTAGTGCGTTCACACACACAGTCACACGCTCCAAGTCCAGCTGCACCTGGATATCCCAGCCTGTCCCTAGGAGCCCTGGCTCTGAGGAGAAGCTGGGGTGCTTGCTGGCAGGGCCAGGACCAGGCTCTGTCCTCCTGGGGCTGAGCAGGGGAGCCACTCCCTGCGTGGGGAAAGGCACTGCCCTAGCAAGAGCTCTTTTCCCGGCTCCATACAGCTCACAGCTCTCCTCTTTCTCACTGGGAATGAGCACAGAAGGCTTCCACATGTGCTCCTCCCCACAAAAAGGATTCCATCCTCCCTCCAGCTGCTCAGCATCTAGAGCAACTCCTGCTCTGGCAGAATGTCCCAATGGAACACATCCATCCAGTGCCACCTGGGTCAGCCACAGGCCATCTCCACAGCTGGCCCTGCTCCTAGGCTAGACTTTGGTCAACCATCTGCTCCTCCCCACACAGACAACCCAACAAGCGACCACTGCATGATGGAGGCCAGCTTTTTATTTTTTTAATATGGAAATTAATTTAAAAGTAGAAAGAAAGACTCCCCAGACAATAAATATGCCTTCTTGAAATAAATTAATGTAGAGATTCTGTGCAGGGGAAAGTCTCTCCAGTCACAGATTCAACAACAACTGGCACTGGTCCAGTGTCCCCTCCCAGCCTTTTCCACTGCCTGGTGCTGTTCAGAAGCAGCAGAGAGCCCACCCACCCCTGGATCTGGTGGGCCACAGCAGGGTGAGACACGGCCTTCACACAGCCCGGCAGGATATGGGGAAGTCAGCAGGATTCCCCTCTGATGGCCACCAAGACATGTGGGATTGCTCCACTCATCTGGCCTGGCACACAGAGGTGGCATCAGACCCACAGGGCCAACCTACCTTGGACGGGACCCTCCAGAAGGGCCTGGGGGAAGCCTCCACCAGAGCCCTGGCACAGGAACCTGCCTGGAGCCCTCACACTAGTCTCATGTGAATTTGAAGAGGGTGACAAATTGTGGGGTATTTTCTTTTTTTTATCTTTTTTTTTTTTTCTTTCTTCTTTTATTTGACATCAATCCCCTCCCTCCCTGCCCCAACATACACAATGTAGATGCCTCCCAACTCCCTCCCCATCAAAAACACTTTGTCCCCAACCTCTGGTGGAGTCACCCCCGGCCCACCCCTCTCGCAGTGAGAGAAGTTCACAGATAAGGCAGTTCATGTGAGAGGGAGCTCGGCCCTGCCAGCGCCTCCAGGCCTGAGAAGGGCAGTGACTCACAACACCAAGCCTCCACAGCGAGACAAGACAGAGAACAGAGACAGACAGACAGACGGAGCGTGGGGGGAGGCACTCCTACAGTTTGCATTGCTGCTTCCCTCCTCCCCGGCTCTTGCTCCCTCGGCTCTCAAAGGTCCACTCTATCCCTCTCCCATCTCCCAGCCCCTAATACAATTCTTATCCTTGACAGCTAAAGAACAACAAAACAAAACGAAAAGAACAAACCACCCCCACGCCACACCCTTTGCATCCTTCTCCACCCACTGCCGTGGCCCAGAGGGAAAATCCTGACTCCCAAAAAGGTCCTGCAACTTTTGCCTCCTGGCGGAGCTGAGACCAAGCAGGAGCTGGGCCTTTTTTATTTCCCTGTGATCTCTATGACATCGTCGTCTTTGTCCTCGTCATTAGAGCTGCATCCCACCTCTGGGACCTCCTGGGGTTCAAACTGAGGCACCTGGGACCGAAGGAGACCCCCAGCCGGGTAGCCCGAGTGAGGGGACACGTAGCCAGGGTAGGCAGATGCCATGCTCCTGGGAAGGCTGCTAGGCAAGATGGGGGCTGGGAAAGGAGCGAACATCCTGGGCTCGGGCAGGAGTGACTGCGTGAAGGGAAGCGAGTAATTGGGCAGCACCCCTGTCAGAGAAGGGTTTAGCATGAATGAGGGGACGCTGGCGGTGGCTGAGGTAGCAGCAGAAGAGCTGGCGGTGCCGGCTGTCAGCAGAGGGTCAGTAGTCACAGGGAACACCAGATGAGGGTCTGGGAGTAAATTGGGCAGCTGGTAATAAGAGGAGCCAGTGCCCATGTACAAGGAGTTTCCTGGCTGGGAGGCAAATGGATGGGTTAGGTTGTGGTTTAAAGAGACAGGAGGCATGGTGAACCCACCAGAGACGGGGTACCCGTGTTCGTACGGCTGCACGGACGATGGCAACTGGCGCTTCTTCTGCTGCCTCCGGGATTGCTCCTCCGGAGCCGACGGCGACGTCGACTTGCGCTTGTTGCCCCGTAAGTCCAACACCGGGTGGGCATCGCCGTGCTGGCTGGTGGCTGGCAGGGCCGAGGACACGGAGGGAGCCATGCAGGGAGCCCCCAGGCGCTGCTCGGCCCCCCGGGCGGCGCCGGGCGCGGTGTCTGTGCGGGCGCCGTGGCCCTGAGCCGCGGTGGTGCTGGGAGAGCTGTGTCGGGACTCGCGCGCGGCCGCCGCCTCGGCGTACTGCTGCAGCTCGCTGATGATCTCGGGGCTGTCGGGGGAGATGGGCCGAGTGAGCTCCTCGGCGCTGGGGAGCTGCGGGGATGAGGCACTGTGTCTGCCATTGCTCGTGGACTCCAGGGAAGAGCTCTGGGAGCCTGCAAACAAGGACATGGGACAGGTGAGAAATACGACCCCAGAGGAAAACCTGCAGGCCAAGAGGCAACAGTGGAAAGGAGGATAGGAATATCTTGGGATATGGCAGGGTCAGCTCTCAACACATACATGATGGAATACACCAGGGAACACTGCCCCAGACACTCCAGCAGGAAAGCACATGTGCAAGCCCCACACAGCACCCACAGGCCCCTACCTGAGGCAGCTGTCCGACGGTCTTCATTGCCCTTTGGCTTCCCAGTGGTCCGTATGGCAAAAATCCGACCGTCGCTGGTCCGGATGTACGTCCCTGGAACAGAGGCAGGACAACTTCATTCAACAACTTCATTGCAACTCCAGTCTCAGCTCAGGACCTGGATCTATGAGCCTGTAAGGTTCCTTGGGCAAGAATAGGACAGCAGTGCTGCACGGGCCCAATGGAGGGCTCATATCCCCTTCCTCATCCCTCACTTTCACTCTTTCAGCTTTCCTGGACTGGAGATCAACCCCCTCCCAGTGTGCCAGTAGGAAATGTGGAACTTCACAGCTGAAACAGTTTGCTCTGGGAGAACCAGAGAATGTTTGGCTGCCTCAGGACTGGCAGTGAGTGTTGTGAGCAGGAAGAACTGAGCCACAAAGTTCAACAGCTCCTCTCAGGGAAAAGAGCAGCCACAGCTGCAACAGCCGAGCAGCCTCAGCTGCAACAGCCATGCAGCCTCAGCACACCCAGCACATGGGCTGCAACAGAGTCACTGCAAACTCTAGACCTCCCTCCCTTCTTGTTTCTTTTTTTCTCAAGGGATTGATTCATGCCTTCACATAATTTTCCTTCCTAATTAGCACTGGCTAGGACCCTATCCACAAATCTTAGCAGGACAGAATTACCTTTTGTCCCTCTGATGATGTGGATGCTCTCGCCAGCACTGATTCTTGCTTGCACATCAGTGGATGTGTTTGTACCCGGAATCACAATATCTGGCAGTGGGGAAAGAAACAGAATAGTGCCCATTAAACTACATGCCAGCCACAGCCAGAAGAGGGCAGGTGCACCACCAACCCCTTTTTTTTTGCAGTGCAGTTGTCTCTCCTGTGTGCTGTGCTATAAGCAAGCCCTAGGTTTATTTCTACACAGCACAAGAAGGCAGCAGAGGCTCCAAGGAAGCAAAAGCCATGCTGTCCTGGCATAGCATCTCCAGAACCACCAGCGACAGAATTGCAGGTCCTGTCAGGGAAAGTTCAGTCCCAACAATCCACCAGGTCCATGGTTCTTGTATACCTGCAGGGAAAGTCCTCCAGGCACAGAGGAGCTACTCAAATGCAGAGATACATTGTCCTTTCCTCTGGTGCCCATCTGCCCACAGCCCATATGGACATCAACAACTCACCCTGATCCTCAGTTCACCATGGGCATCACGACCCAACCCACTTTGAGCAGCAGCAACTCACCTGTGGTGGTAACAATCTTCTGCACAAAGACACCAGCTCGCTGTAGGTAGTTGATGGGAAAGTTGACAGCAGGGTTGGAACTTGAGGTTGATCCTGCACTGCCCATGGGGACATGCCGGGGCATCATTGGAATGGGGGTGGACTGAACTGGGCGGACGCTTGCCACTGGTTTGTCCTCACCCTTGAGGGCTGGTCGCCTAGTGAGAGAGGAGGGAGGAGAGTGCAGCACCCATCCCACAGTGAGAAGCATCCTCTGCCCCCTCATTCCATGTCTACAGAAGGGAGAAGGGAAGAGGCAGGTGCTCACCAGTTCCTCTGGCTAAAGGCAGGGATGCTCGTCAGACTCTGGTCACTGGCTGGGTAATACTGTGCGTAGGACGGCCGGGTGTAGGGGACGGACGCTCGCTTTTCCTCCTCATAGCTCTTCTTGGCTGCTTTCTTCTCTGCCTTGGTCAGCTTGTGCTCCTTCCGGTCGATCAGCAGTGACTCGTGCTGAAAAGGCTCCTGCAACCCCACAGCACCGCGGTTCTGGCACCCACACACCGCAAGAGGGAACCAGCACACCCCGAACGGCAGCCCGCTCCTGCGGCAGCCTGCCTCCTTCCCAGGCTGGCAGAGCCGGCCACGGCAGAGCACGTACGGGGGGCACCGCTGTCGATGTGACCAAGGCTCATCTTGAAGGGTGACAGTCAGCTAATGCCATCACCTAGCAGCCAAGGCCATCACTTACCACGAGCACACAGCAACACCCAGGAGCTTTGGCCAGGCCAAGAGCACAAGCAAGGAGCCTGCCACGATGTCACACAGCCCCCAGAGCCCCACAGCGCCTGCAAAGGCCCACTCTGCATCACCCCACCAGTGACACTCCTGACAGCACAGGCCAGTGCTGCCTGTCCCAGCTTTGGTTTAAAGTCACCCCAGGAAAACAGCTGGCGGCAAGCTGGGATACTCCACTGCCACCTTCCTGCTCAGCATCAAGTTAAAGAAAGGAGTGCCTGACAACCTGCCCCCAAACCTGTACAGGACAGAGGTGTTTCTAAATGAGTGGAAGATATCACAGGGAAGGGCAGGGATCTTTGGGTCCTCTCTAGAGAATTTTCTGCCTATTCCCACCAGCACCTAGGTGCATCCTTCTTGCCACATGGCCCCTCACACTGCTGGACTCGTCCTCCAGGCCCACTCCAGGCTGTGAGGTGCAGTGCCAGCAAAGAAGCAGACAGGTCTTACCTTGGTGATGAGGTGAGGATACTTGAGACAGGCTAATTGTAGAACAGACTCCTTCATCTTGCTCGGATTGAGGGAGAGCTGAGCAGGGTCAGATTCTTCTTCCACAAAATGCAGCAGGTTCTCCACCTCCCGTCGAGTGAAGTTCAGCACTGGGTTCAGATCATCCACCACCCGATCTGGAAAAGAGAGGGAATGGAGTAAAAAGAAAAGGGAAGAGATCAGCACTGCTCCCCTGTTGCCCTTGCTACGCTTCTGTCCTAAAACAGCTCCCTCCTTGCAATCTACACAATCCTCAGAATTATTCTGTAAATGTCAGGTCAAGGAGAAAATCATCATATTCAGAGCTGAGCCTGTTTGACCAAGTCAGGCTGACAAGTGCCTGTGCTCCAGACTGCACAGCAAAGCTGTGTGGGTCACCAAGCTCCTGACAAACAGGAACACAAAACTAATTATGGATAATGTCCCACCTCATGTAATAAAGCTGTAAACGTACACATCCTGGGACAGAACTGCAGCCACATCAGTATGTGTTCTCCCACAAATCCCACCATAAAGGCTCAAATTAATAACTATGTACTAAAAGCTCAGAAAAGCAGCCACATTCCCTCACTCACAAGAGACTGAGTGTCTCTTGAACATCCCCTCCTGCACACAGGCCAAATGGGAGCACACAGAGAAAACACCTCTATCCAGGACTCTCCTGGGAGCCAGGCCAGCTGACAGAGGACTCCACCTCAAGTGCACAACAGCAAACTGAGCTGATCATGCTGGGCTGCTTGGGAGTTTTGAGCAAAGGACACAGAGCTCTCTTTGGGTCACAACAACCCTCAGCTGCACATTCTAGGAGAGCAGCTTGACAACTGGCACAAGCCAGCACAAAAGATACTTTTGGTACAAAGGCATGTTAGAACCACAATGAATTAATTATTCTTGGCACCTAAGCAAGCACTATCCGTCAAAGGTATCAATATATGTTTTAATTTAGCTATTTTCCCTCTCTTACTGCAGGAAAAATGGAGAGAGAGTTATTTAAATAGTAACACCCAGTTTAAGATGAGCAATATCCAGGACAGAGGGGAAAACAGGATGAGCAACCCCTTGAGTCTCCCGATCTGTTGCAGTAGCCAGAAAGGAGCAGAGGAAGAAAATGGCACAGCAGAGGACTGGCACCACAACCTTGCTGCAGGATACTCTACCACCATGAATTTCTTACAGGATCCCATGTCACTGCCAACTCAAACACAGCCCTGGGATAGTGCCTGTCACCTCTTTGCCTGTTTTTCAACCTTAAAAAAAGAAGTTACAAAACCCACAGAAACTTCCAGGAGCTAAGAGGAGAAATCTCAGAGTGGAACGTTGTGCTCTCCACGCTTACCTGACATGCCTTGCTTGGAGATCTGACGGTCATAGATCTTTTTCTCCAGGGTGTAATCAGAAACCAGTCTGTAGATGTGACACGGCTTCTTCTGCCCGTAGCGGTACACCCGACACACGGCCTGGGCATCGTGGCACGGGTTCCAGGAAGCATCAAACACCACCACTCTGTTTGCTCCAATGAGGTTGACACCCAAACACCCAGCACTGGAAAATTAAGGCAAATTTCAAACTGCTGTCAATTTCCAAAACTTCTAGGCAGGGACAACCATCACAGCCAAGAGTCCATAAAGGGTATATGGAAAGTTTCCTCCAGTCAAACTTTAAACCCAAGTTTGGTTTCCAAGACTGTTAAACTGTTGCAGAGGCCTAAAGCTGAAATCCTACATCCCTAGGGAATTCAGAAGCAGATGGCATTATCACCTCAGGGACAGCATATTACAAAGGAAGTTAAGAACTGAAACCCACATGCATCCAGAACATCAATATGAGTCCTCCCCTGTGCCCTGCTGCTCCAGCCAACTCACCGTGTGGACAAAAGGAAGAGCCAAACAGAGGTGTTGCTGGGATCATTGAACTGGTTAATCAGCCGTTCCCTTTCTGAGGCAGAGGTGCTGCCATCCAGTCCTGAGAAGAGAATTAAAGACACAGGTAAAAGCTCTGTATGTTTGGGGGATTTCTATCAGAACAAACCCACTTTCTGAACACTGAGCTTTGAAACTGGTTCCTAACCAATTCAAGTCATGTACTCCAAATCTCAACTGGACCACTCTGTACCTGTAATATGCCCAAAAAGGCAGGTGCAATGCAGCCAGCCAGGCTGGGACTTGATCAACTGAAAGATCAAGTAAACATTACTCAAGGCCAGGCCTGGGACCACTACAACACATCCAGCCCTTTAAGGCTCTGCTTTAGGCAAGGTGGATAGCAAGCAGGAACAACAGGAACAAAGGCCTCATGCATGCAGGAAGCTCTAGGAATCAAGAGAAAGCAAAATTGTAAAGTCTTTGGCAAACCCCCTGCTGTTCCTGGGCAGCAGCTTGCTTCTGGCAGCTCTGCAAAATTCAGGAACACTATATCCATCACTCTTCTCAGTCCTGGCCTGCAAAGTAGCCACACAAAGCAACAAGCCATATCAGAGAAAGATTTAAAGCTGGGGAAGAAGGAGAGGAATTCATAACCTTGAGCAAGCAAAACCATTCCACAGTGATTCTGGTTTTGGATGCAAGATCTAACAAACAGCCAACAGGATGCAAAAAGCATCTTTTGCAACTTTAAAAAAGCAGTAGTGTGTAAGTGAGATGTCAAAGATGTCTAATATCTTCTAAGTAAGATGTCAAAAGAGGATTTGGAAATTACTGCTTAGTTGCTATTCAACTGACACTGTCTTCCAAACAACAGAAGTAAGAACAGTCTGAAAGAGATTCATCAGAAGAATGCTTCAGCAGAGCATCTTCACACCCAAAGATAACTAAAAGAAGATGGTGGCAACTTTCAGGAACTAGTCCTTCACACGATCAAACAGTGTCCCAACAAAAGAGAGGAGGACTGGATGCACTCACTGTAGTAGTTGATGTTTCGGACCCAGTTGTGAACCCCTCCATCTGAGCCTGGAGGACTCGGCATCGGTCTCTTTGCCAAAAACTCTTCAATGACAGATAAGGTGGACAAGCTCTGGCTGCAAAACCAAGATCTGTTCAGGAAAAAGCCCTCTAGCTGCAGAAGTGGAGTATCAGATTCCTTCCCCAACCACGACAGTGCTGCTGGTTGTCAAACCCTGTTTGTGCAGCACATCCCTCGCTAGTAAATGTGACAGCGGCAGAAGTATAAAATCCACGGATGAAAATCCACATTAATACAACAAAGGAGAAAAGGGGAACCACCACACCATTCATCCTCTGGAAAAACCTCCCAGTATCAGGGGGATCCCATTACTCCAGTATTTAATGACTACAGGATCAGTTGGATACTCTGCTTACCTGAAGACCAAGATCTTGTCTCCAAGCTTCACACTTTCCTCAATTAGGTGGAAAAGTAACACCATCTTGGGTGAGTTCTCCAGGACTCCAGTCTGGTAATCACATAAGATGTCTTTGGCCTACCAAGAAATGGGAGACTATTACAGGTGGAGTCGCTCATTCCCTGTTTAGTTCAACAACTCTGTCTCAAGGTGAGAGAAATAAATCAAGGCAATGAGGTTATTTACATCCAGTTGTTCGAGGTGACAATGTTACTCCCAACTACTGCTGCACCTCCCATTGCAGAAGCTCCAAATGACAAACTTCTTTGATGAATGAGTGTCCTCTTAACCTCTCATGACTCTTTCATCTCAAGAGCTTCCCTCCATCCTTCTAGATTTACCAGCATCTTATTTAGATCAAAGTTCACCCTAACACCTTTATTTAGAATAACGAAGTCCACGGCCTTTTTGGAGAGATGAGAACAACGACATAAGAGTGCTGCCTGCACTTCTACCTCATGAGAGTCAAACCCCTCCTAGCATCTCACAGATCTGCTTATCAAGATGTGGTAAAAAGAACTTAGGAGGAACCCACAACTCAAACAGAGGACTCTCCTCTTTGCTTTGCTTCAGAAAACTGTCCAAATGAAAAGCTTCCCAGTCGTGACACTCACCCACTCATAAGTTACGACCTGATTTGCTCTCTCCTGAAAAGGGTTGAAGCCAACACTCTGGAGGAACTTGCTATTAGTAGCTTCTCCAGCTGGTGATGCCAAAGCATTACTCTCTGTTTTAACTTTAATTCCCTGAGGCTGGCAGCGGGAATTAGTGCTTGCTGTGCCAAGGTCATCCACATCCAAATCCTGCTCGTTTGCCAGATTCTCCTTTTGCAGAGCTTCATACAACACATCTGGATGGTTCCAGATCTGAAGGGATAAAGAAAGGAAGTAGTTAGACCTGCACTGGTCTGCTGCTCGCCAATGACTGTGACCTGACAGCCCCTACAGCTATTCAAAGGAAAGAACTAATACTTCTTCTGGGCTCTCGTATCTTTAAACATGTCCAATTCTTTCCGTGAGAACAAACCAGGAGGTCACTGTGCACCCCACACAGCACAAAGGCAGAGGAAGCTGCCTGTTTGCATTAAGCAGGTAAGGTTATGGAGTTTAAGATATCAGCCCAGATTGTTTCAGCTGATGCCAACAAGTTTCTTGCACAGTTTGAAAGGGACATTTAACATCCCTGCATCCCACTTCTGGAAGCAAAGACAACAATACTGTTGAACCACTGCAAAGCACTCTGGGGAGAGATGATGTCCCAGGCCAACCACACTTTCACCTCCTCTTTTACTTATATTCCCCTTTCCCCAACACATTAGAATCTTTCTTTGCATCTTCTGCCAAAACCTACCTTACAACAGACACAGAAAGCTTTGAGTGGGTTCAGCCCCAGCCAGCCACTGTTGCCTGCATCACGGAACCGGTTCATGAACTCCGTGTAAAGGGCCCGCTGGATCTTGGACAGGCGTACCAGAATGACATGTTCTTCCTTAGATGGGAGCTGAACCTTCAGCACGTTGTGGCCTCGCCTGTGGAGGAAATAAAAAGAGTCAGATAAATACAGGGAAGAGAATTTCCCAATAAAAGCTCCCTGTGGCTGCCTGTAGGGTAAGATTTTGACTTCTTGCCCACCCAGCTGCAGAGAGAAGGACCTCTAAATTGCATGTTTCTCTAATGCATGACACTTCTGAGATACTCTCCCTGCAGCCAAATACCAATTGTAAACACAATTACAAAGATCTCAAACACTACAATCTTCTAGCACAGGTCACAGACTTAAGAGGGTGATGAAAAGTCCTGTTTTCCATGGTAGCTGAAAAACAGACATAAGACGTAAAGTCTATTTTCAGCTCTGCCAATGATTAAGACACTCCAGACTAGCATCTTAGAATCCTCATCTGAGAAAAAAAAAATGTTGATTTGTTTCCAAAGTGGTGGAGTCACTGTCACTTTTCTTAACAGTTTTACGGAACACTTCTAGATTCTTGGATAAGGATGTCACAAAGCACACATCCAAATTGGCTATTAAGCCACCAAAATAAACCTGAGGTCACTCTAGGGCAGTTAGAGGTGTAGTTCTCTATTATCAGAGTCCGTGGTACCAAAGCAAACCAACTTTACAGTGTGGCCAACAGGGCCAGGGCACTGAACCTCCCCTCGCACTCAGGTGAGGCCCCACTTTGAATCCTGGGTTCAGTTTTGGGTCCCTCACTACAAGACAGTGAGGTGCTGGAGTGTGTCCAGATTCAGGCAACAGAGCTGGAAAGGGTCTGGAGCACAAGTCTGATGAGGAACAGCTGAGAGGACTCAGCCTGGAGAAAAGTAGGCTTTGGGGGCACCTCTCTCTCTCTCCACAACTACCTAAAAGTAAGTTATATCCAGGTAGGGAACAGTCTCTTCTCCCAGGTAACAGTGACAGAACAAGAGAAAATGGCCTCGAATCGTGCTGGGGAGGTTTAGATTGGATATTAGAAAAAATTTCTCCATGGAAGAAGAAATTTTCCCTTCATGGAAAGGGTGGTCACTCATTGGAACAGGCTGTTCAGGGAAGTGGTGGAGTCACCAGTCCTGGAAGGATTTAAAAGACTCATAGGTGTGGCTCCTGGGGACAAGCTTTAGTGGTGGCTGTGCTGGGTTAATGGCTGGACTTGATGATCTTACAGGTCTTTTCCAACCTAAATGATTCCACGATTCTGTAAGGCAGCAAGATTTAGTTGTACTGCACAAACCCAGCAAACAAGCCAGCTAACTTGTGCTGCAGGAGCTGTCTGCAAGGAGCACACTCCTGAGAACAGCCCTGGACTCACCGCTGCACGAAGCCCTCGAGCAGGCTGTGCAGGACGTGGCTGCGGTAGCGCATCAGCCGCACGTCCTGGGGGGTGCTGTCAATGCACTGCCCGTTCAGGATGGGCCGCTCAAACATGTTGCTGAATTCCTGCCGTGAGCCCAGGAAGTCAGGCCGGACAAAGTCCACCATGCACCAGTACTCGATGAGGTTGTTCTGGAGCGGGTACCCAGTGAGCACCACCCGCCGGCGCGAGCGGATATTCTTCAGGGCCTGCGAAGTGCTGGCATGGCAGTTCTTTATCCGGTGTCCTTCGTCACAAATAACCACATCTGGGCCGGGGCGAGACAAAGCTTTCTCAATCCCTGAGGACAAGGGACGTGAAGTGTTAGTTAGAGATGAATAAGACAAAGTTCTGGGTTTACAAGATCACCATCTTCACAAAACAGAGGTATTTCTGAAAAACAACAAAGCAGTACAGAGAGCAAGGCTAATTCAGGAGATAACATAGCCACTAGTTCTGATTTAGCAAAACGTGGTAATAAGTAAACATGACTGTCCCTTGATTTCTGTTCAATGACCTGCATTGCATCAAGTTGGGTGTCTTGCATCAAATCAGAGTGACAAATCTCACACTGACAAGTCCCAGAGTTCAGTGTACTAAATTCTACACTTACTTGCAGCTCTTAGAAGAAATTGAAGATTCAGTCAAAGCTCAACAACCTTCTGCCTCCAAAGACACAATCCCACCCAGCAAAGCTCTATCATGTCAGTAAACTAAAATCAAATTATAGGTTGTTTCCCTGTGCTGCCAGTTAACAGCTAGCTGGACAACAGAGTCACACTCTCCCTTTTGAGGACTGACTTCCCACCTTTCAGAAGCTCCTGCTGCCTGTCTTCCTCATCCAAGTCAATAATGACAGGGCCAGTTTGTTTCTTTGTTCTCTTCTTCCTGCCAGTGGCAAAGGACTTCTTCAGTGAGAGGAGTCGGTACATCTCGTATCCCATCAGCAGCACACCACCTTCTGTCACCCAGTCATTCACCACCTTTGCACGTGCAGCTGTCGTCCTGCAAAACAACCAAATAAACCCTAAGCTTTACTACAATTTCAGGTTGAATCACTGGATTGGAGTCTGCTGAGAAAAAATACCCATTCAATTAATTAAAAGCACTTTTCTCACATCAAACCAGATGGAGGTTTACAATAAAATTTCTTTAGGAAACAAACAGAAACAGAGGGGAAAAAAAAGCCTTTTATGTGTCATGGATAGCAGGATTGAGAATGACAAATCCTTACAGGAACTAAGGTGTAGAAGTCTGTCATGCACAAAAGCATATCAGACTCAAGAGCTCCTTTTTTATAGAGTTGTAGAATTTGCCTCAGCAAAAACCATTTTCAGAAGGAGCTGCCAATGCACATGGTTGTAATCTTCAAGTTGTTTATTCCCTGCTGTCTCCTTCAGTGCTCCTGTCCCTCAGGCTTCGTTCCCTTCCAGCCTGCTCAGAACTGGTTCAGTTCAAGACACTGTCTTTGCTCAGTCCATCACAGTACATCACATCCTGGCCAACATGGATAAATAAATGGCTGGAGCAGCATGAGCAGATTCAAATATATCCCACCCAGAAAGTGAAGACATCAACAGGTAGGTGCACAGACAAAGCCACTGAACTGAGAATTCCTCAGGACCACTGCACTGCCCTGATCCATGCAGGGAAAACGACCCAGAAAGAAGCAGAGGTCCCTGAGCCAAGAGCTCAGAAAAGCTTTTACTGTCACCTACTTGTGTTCATCATTCAGGATGTGGACTTTGAAGGTGCGGGGCTGGACCTCTTTGGAGTTATAATCAGCAGGAAGGTTTTCAGGTGCTGGGAGCCACATGTTGAACTCTGCTAGCCAGTTCTGGAGCGTATTAACCTGAAAAAGTTTGCCATGGAAGGATTAAAAACCCAGCTGAGTCACTTGGGATTTTTAAGAGCAAAAATGAGATTAGGGAATAACACCCAGTGTGCCCAGATGGAAGCAGCAGCTCACAGCATGCAAATTCAGGAACACAGGGAATGATAAAGGGGAAAGAGCAGCAAGGATGTGACAGACCTTAATGAGTGATGGGACACTAATCAATCTTCTCTATGCAAAAAAAAAGAAGTAGTGTAAGGAAACCCCTCAGCCAGCCCTTCATGTGACTACTTACAGGTACAATGGCAAGAACAGTCTTTGCCTCTGTGTGCCGAAAAAGTACATCCAAGAAAGAGATGACCTGTATGGTCTTGCCCAGGCCCATGCTATGTGCTAAAATACACCCAAACCCACTGCTGGTTTTAAATCTCTCCAAGGACTCGACCAAGTTGTCATAAAGGAATCGGATCCCACCAATCTAGGCAGAAAAGTAGAAAAAGTGTTAGAATGGTGGCAGACAAAAAAGCCCAGGACGGGTATGTATTTACAGAGTGGCAAGTACATGAGGACCATGAAAATGTAAAGGGGATGTTTCAAGTTCACTGAAGTACTCTAATCTAGGGAAGACTCAGAAACTTAGTATTTTTAGATGCTCACAGAATTTCTTGAGAATATATGAATAAATCAAAATTAATTGGTAGCCAGAGGATCTGAATTGGGGTTGATTAGTTTGTTTATAATTTTATTTTTTTTAAAGTTCATCTAAATATAGAAAGGTCTGATAATGACAACAGCTGAAGTTATACAGAGCCTTGGCCTTCCTCTAATTCAGTTTTATCATTTGACCGTTGTCCACAACAGTCACCACCACAACCAGACTGGTTACAGGGATCACCAAAGAAGTTCTGCTGAGATTCTCAGGCAAGCTTGCCTGAATTAATTGTATTTTCAAGGTTAACAAAGCCCACCTGATGAGGTTTTACTGCATGTGCCAGCTGGGGAGCTAGGAAAATGTCCTCCTCATTTGGTGGATGATTGATGTTGACGATAACTTGCCCCAGAGCATCTGACTGATTTAAGGCATCATTCACATGAGAGCCACTGCTCTCTTCACTGCCATCCTCCTCCCCCTCATTGCCAGAGTCACTGCTGTCTACAATTTGGAGGGCATCATCCTCTCCTGAGCTCAGCTCAATCACTTCTGTAAAGTAACCAAAACAGGAGAGAATAAGGATGAAGTTGACATCAGGGTTTATCATGAATGAAAAAAACCTTGCAGGAAATAAGGCTACCCCCAGCTTTTGCAATTCCACCGTGGCCTAATGATGTATCCTGAACAGGCAGGCACGATACAGGCACACAGACCAGGCCCCTCAGACCAGCATATGAAAATGTCATCTTCACTGGTTTCCAAATGTTTCAGGTAACATTAACTTGGCTGATCCAAAGACAACCTGAGACAGTTTCTAGGAGTGTTTTACATTCTCTTTTGTATGTTTTCTTAATTTCCAAGCCCAGACACGAATTTTATCTACTAATGTAATGCCTAAGGATCATGAAGGAGTCCAGTTGAATCCATTTGGGACAAGGGACACAAAAACCACTTTCAGCTGTAGATCTGAATACTTAGATGCTCCTTTTACATGCAGCAAATGGTGCCACATCTCCTGTAAGCATTCTTCAGCAATGCACTGAGCAAAGCTAAGTGCATTTATAAAGCAGAAATAAACACAAGTTCACAAGCCCTGACAGGCCATTTTATAAATGTCATTTTAGGACTCACAAGCCAGAACTGCCCAAATAATTGGATACCAATAGGCCTACAAAAATCTGAAGTGATTCACCACTGGAGCATCTGACCAGATGAAAACAGACTTGTGGCTGAATAAACAGCATATTGTGAGAAGAACAGGCTGAGGGAATTGGTCACTTACCATCTTTAATGCTATTTTTTCCTTTAGTATCATCTTCACTGCCACTGCTGGTACTGTCGAGGCAGATCACTTCCTCAGCCAGGACCTGAGGGGGGAGCTGGGTCGCCTCTGCTGTTCTGAAAACGATGTCCTCTACAAACATAAATTACAAACAGTAAGTAATTCATAATAATGGGGAAGGAGACAAAACTGTTCAGAAACCAGACAGTATTTCCTTCCACTTTAGCTCCAATAACTTAGTCCTGGAATTTTCCATAACAGACTCTCACTGTCTACAATCCTGCTATGACTCAGCTTCCTGGGTCACACTCTCCTCCATTCTCAATATGCTGTAACAATAGCCCATTTGCTGATGGCACCCTCTGTTTCATGCCCTGACTGGGGCACACTGACCATGCAACATGCTAAAGCCTTTGTTTCTCTTTTTTTTTTGGTCTCAATAAAAGCTGTGTTTCATCCAGCAGAGAAAGTACCAACTGCTAAAGGGATGATAACTGCTCTTTGTTAGTAGGGACACTGTAATAATTACATCCCACATATCATAAACAACTTTTGCTGATCAAAAGCATTTGTTTGTATGCTTTCAGTGCTGCCATTTGGGGGAGAGGCTAATAGAGCCAAACAGCACCACTTTAGTAACACAGCAAGCAATGACATTGTTCTGGGATTGAACCTACCCAGCATAAGTTAAAGTGTTTTAAACAGCTCTTATTCCTTCTCCCACATGTAAAAGTGTTTTTAACACTTACACATAAGGGAGAATATATATTTCCTCAAGAGGCAAGGCCAACTCAAGGATTCCTTACCCTTGCCCAACATCCAGCTGCACTTCTCTGCCCTTTACATCTTTTGGAGCTGTGCTATAAGCTAAATCACCAAAATGATTCAGATTGGGAAACAATGCAAGGTGACATATTCACCCAAAGACATGAGTGATGCTTAACCATTTATACTGCCTGCAACTCACTGCTTGCTGAAACATGCCAGGAAGGTCAAGGTTATATCACCAACATATGTGCACCCAGTCTATTGTTCCACTATCCCCAGTACCAGACACACGTGTTACCAGACAATTCCCAGGACAAACAAGATCTGGCATTTCTGCCAAATCTGTTGATTTAAGCTCCCATACCAGCTGGAAAGACAAGAGAGCTCTGTTTCAGCATCCCCCTACACACACTTAATATATGTCAAAACATCTTCAACAAACATTACCTGGCACCTTTCACCAAGCATCCACTGTATCTTGATAGAAAACAGGCTCAGAAGTGGAACTGCCTACTCTGAACCTACAAGTGGTTTGGAACTGCTATTCTAAGAGTTTACACTTGAAAGTCCAAGTATAGCAGAGAATCACAGAACGTTTGGGGTTGGAAGGACCTTTCAAAGGTCATCTAGTCCAACCCCTCTACACTGATCAGGGACATCTTCAGCTACATGTGGTTGCTCAAAGCCCAATCCATCCTGAACTTAAATGTTTCCAGGAGAGGAGCATTCATCACAACACATTATGCACGACCTGTGTTTCAGCACCCTCATTGTAAAGCATTTCTTCTTTGTATCTAGCCTGAATCTACCTTCCTTTAGGTCAAAAACCATTACTCCTTGTCCTGTCATGGACAAGCATGGCACTACCTTCTTCATTCAGAATCTATCTTTAAAACTCTTGCTTTGGCTGGCATCTCCCAGTGCTTACCAGGAAGAAACTCCAGGGGTACTGTTGGTATAGAGGCTGGATAATCCTTCCGCTGCTGCTCAAGCCGTTTCCTTCTCTCCAACTCTTCCTGCTGGGCTGCCTTTGTCACGGCTTCCAGTTGGTCCTCACGCAACAGCTTTCTGAACACAGGAGCAAACATGATTTGGTTACACTCAATTTCTTCCAAAAACCTGAACACAGCTGCTGAAAAGATGACTGACAAGCTTCAGGTATTCTAACAGCCATACAGAGTAGGAACATCATCCCCCAAAAGATATGGGCAAATTCTACAGCTATTTCAACACTGTGCTTCCCAACTACACTCAAGGAAAAGACAAAAGTTTGACAGAAGCGAAGTAATGAAAGGAGGAAAAACCTAAGTGGGTAAGCACATACTTAAACTAGGTTAACAGAGACTAGTTCTTCTGCTTGAAAGGGTGTTTTTTACTGATATGCAGTTTATAAACACAAAATGCACTAAGACATGCAAAGAAGATATATGCGAAGAAAATGCACCAATTCCCCTACAAAAAATCATCACCCTGATTCTCTTCTGACAGTATTTTCAGGAGCTAGGATCTCTAATGGTTTTAACAATTGTTTCAAGGCATTCTCTCAAAGCACCTTCACTTTGGAAGTAATTTTATTTACTTCTAGAAGTTGCTTTTCCCCTGCTTCCGTGTCACATGTCCAGTCCTGGAAATGAAGTTGCTTTTGCCAGAGGAGAGGTGCAGTACAAGCAGTGGTAAAATTCAGCTCCCTCAAACTAGCCTTTAAAATCACCCAAAACCACACTTCAGGGACATCTCCTTGATCCTAATGAAGTCTCATTTTCCAAGGTCTATCCAATGCTTATTCCTTCAGCTTTAAGAAAATCAATCTGCACATAGGCACCGAAGACCACCAGCACAGGACATGACAGCCACTTGCTGCCACAGGAGTTCCTGCTCCATTAGCTCTCCTCTGAGCTTATAAAATTCCCTTGAGCAGAATTTCCTAGCATTTACCACCTCACAACCTGTCCCAGAATATGTGGTGAATTACACAATCAAACAATTACTCCTTTATAAAATCCAGGAGAAACTGACTTCCAACATTTCAGTTGCTAGTCATAGCATCAGCATTCCTGTTAATAAATACTCAGGACAGTATAGGAAAGGACTGTATTTTAGGCTGTTTGCAATAGGACTCTCCTCAGCAAATATATGAAACTGGTATTTATTAATGGTGTTACTGTTTTTCAGTTGCATCTCTCAAAAGACAGCAGCAATTACACAATTTTTGCAATATATTCCATAACCAAATATTCACTCTTCTGAAATACCAAACAAGTCTGCACCCACATGCAGCACTCCAGTCTGAGATCACTCTACTCCCACTGGTGAAATCCTAAGGTTTTGGAAAAGAAAAACCATCTGGTTTGCCAGCAGTGGCACAACGTAGCTCAGAAGCAAAGCGCAGAGATTCTGTTTTCACCACCATATGTGACCCGAGCTCTTTCTGTCCTGCTGCTGCTGCTTACCTTATGTTCCTCCGCATGTGAGACGGTTTCTGAGCCCTCTTCTTTTTGGTGTCCTCAGAGGCCAGGCTCTTGTGCTGGTTCTGCAAGAGTTGCTCTGCCCGCTCGCTCTGAGATGAGGTAGTTGAAGTCGAGCGCTGCCATTCTCCATCCTCCGCATGCTCCGCGTGGTCACCGCTGAACACGGCATCCTGGGGTTGGTCTGCAAGGGGCACAACATGACATGGCAGCAGCTGGGCCAGGCTGCCAGCTGGCTGTTCCACGAGCATTCAGCAGGATTTGAGGCAAACCAGAACTGACAAGCCCTACTCTCTCTCATTTGCAAGCATGTCACTCTGAGAGTTAAAACTGGGGTCCTTCCTGACAGTCAGAGTTAAAAAGTTTTACAGTGAAGGATCTGTCCCTAGTGAAAGCCAAGACTAACACCCGTCAACACAGCCCAAAAATGTCCTGACAAGAAAACAAGGCAAAATCATTTAGGTCCATGTGGAGCATTTGCTACTTCAAGAGTCTGTTTTTCTATAAGCTCTGATTAAAACAAGGAACTTAAATCTCTTTTTCTGTGTTTCACATCATTCAAGTAGGGCAGAAATTTCCATCTATATGACACCTACATAACCATCTTCCAAGTCAAGAGAATACAGTATGTAAAAGGTTATCTGGTTCAAACACTGGGTCATGGCTCAGCAGGAAGTTCAGTGGTTTCAAAACCAGGCTTCACTCTCATGGTTTGAAAGGTACTTTCCAACAAGCTTTTTGTCAAACAAAATTTAAGTGGCAATACTCTTTCTACATTATAAATCACATGCATTCCTTTTTCTCTTCATTCTCCTATTTTCAGACTTCCCTTTGTGCCTGATTCCACTCTTAAAGCACAATGCGAAATGATACCTTGTTCTATGTGACACTTGGCTCTTCAACAGGCTGCCAGTGACCAAGCTAATGTTTCCAGAGCAAAGAAAGGAAATGTTTCTGTTCAAAAGCTTCCCTTGAAGTAAACTGTTTCTGACAAGCGTTGTAATAGCTTCTTTGAAGCATTTTGTCCCCTTGTGTCAGCCAAAGAGATACCCTGAACTTCATCTTGTAATCAGCTTTCTTGCTTACATTGTGTATCTGAGCTAATGACTGAACTGAAATGACACATAGACAGAATTTTGAAGGAAAGAAGACATCAGTGCAGAGGAATGTGGCAGATTAAGTTATACAGAACCAACAAGCATCACATTGTGACTCTGAGGGATCTGGAGACAGAGAGCATTCCTTCTCAAAATGCTGGGAGCTTAAATGAAGGATGCTTCAGTACAGCACATTGCACCTACAGCTGTCATGTTGATATGCCCATTAAATTAACCTCATCTCCAGTATCACATCTTAAAATTGAGATGACAACAAGCAGATTCACACCTTGTTCAAAAGCACCAACTTTGCAAACTTCCTCTCCAGACATCCCACCAGACCCACCCCTGCAAGTCTACGTCAGAACACATTTAGGACTTCAGAGCTCAGCCCACCATGGACCAGTACCAGCAGAGCAGCTCAAACATTTCTGTGAATATCTATCTCTGCAAGCCCCACCCATACTGAAAAACCAGGTATCCACAGTTTACAGGATGGAAAAGATCTCATGATGAATGCAAGGAGAGTTATGCATATGAAGATAAGGGCAAAGGGGTTCACTGCTACAAGCACAGTAGTTCTACCATAGCCAAAGTCTTGGAGCCCTGTCCTCCCACCATGCCTCTTTAGACTTACAAGCTCAGATTATCAAGCATCAGCTCGCTTGCAGACAGAGAACTGTGCTGGGAATAAACCCAGTTTCTCAGGCTTCCCAGACAACAACTCTGCTATTTGAGCTACAGACACATTTTAGTCACATTACCTGCAATTCTTCAGCACTGTTTCCTTCCCTCCACCCCTCTTGACTCCTGGTTATATAACTAGATCAAAAGATTGGATGAAATAGGGCAAAGGGAAGCAGGGAGGCTGCACACGTGATCACATGCTCCGGGATGAGTCATTAAACCGGAGACAAACACTGCCATGGTTACACTGCTGCCATCTCACCCTGGGCCCGGAGGACCTTGACAAGGCACCAGAGAGCACAAAGCCATGCTTGTTTGGAAGAGGAAGTGCTTCCCTTCCCACACTCCAGCAATTGCCCACATCACCTCCTCCAGCAGCCACCCTGCCACCTGCACTCTGCAAGGCAAGGGTGTCTTCAGGAGAAGGGTGATAATAGCAAAACCTAAAGGCTCAGGAGCCCAAATTATTATGTCTCCTCTATGTTTTCAGATGTGTTGGCCAATCCCTATGTAGACTCATTCCATTTCTGCATTTTACTTTTTCTTTCCTCTTAATGATATATAATATGATCTCTGGTGAAACCTACACACAGCTGGATCAGATAGGGTTTTTAAAATATAATTCTCATCTGACCAGAGACCTGAAGCCCAAAATTTGATTATAAATTTGGTCCTACACTGACTACAAGCCCTTATCTGCCACAGCCACATCTGCTTAGGCTGGTGTTTGTCCTGTCAATATAAGTTCTGAGGTGAGGAACACAATCTGTGCCTCAGCCCACATCCCTGACACATATGCATCGAGAGCTCTTCCACACTAGTGACAGCTCCAAACATCTCACTGATTCAGCTGCAGTGGGATTCAGGAGACAGACTGCTTCCCAAAGGCTGCTCCTATCCTTGCCACCACCAGGAATAAAGCTTTTCACAAAGTTTAACTAACACAATGTTAAAATCAGAAGTCTAACCTTGCAAGAGCTCCCACCACACCTGTGGCATGAGCTGGCAGCTACAAGCAGGAATTGTTTTGCTGCTGCTTTGTATTAAACATGTGATTATGTGCACAGCCTAAACCTAGCCCAGATGAAAAGTGTGGCTCTCTGCTGCAAGCATGTGGCTGCTCTCCAATACGGGGAGAGCTCCAAGCTGTATAAACGGGACCCACACTGGGACAGAAACACATTAAGAAACAATAGCTACACACATGAACACCTATTTTGTATAAGAACAGGTCTGATCTTTGAGTTGGAGGGAGTGTGGGAAGAGACTCGTTGAACAAGTCCCATCAGGTAATCAATGCAATAATCCTGCCCCAATTTTGCCAAACCTACATCTACAACAGAAACGCAATTATGGTTTTGTAACAGGAGCTCAACACACTACTCTGACATGGTTATACAAGTAGCTTTTTACACAACACAAAAAATTCATCAGCCACGTTTGCATGTTGACAACTCCCTGATCACGCTGGAGCTGCTGTGCACTCTAGGAAGACCCAGGCATTTATCCACGTTGCCTGCTTGAGAAGAGCATTGCTACCAGCCTAGGGGGTGACAACCCAGCACAGCCTTGCACAGCAGGATGAGCCACATCAGAAAAAGCAGGCCCAGGTCTAGCTGAAGACAGCCATGGGCCAGGTGTGGTTGTTGGCAAGGTGTAAATCCATCCCACGGTTACACACTGTGGGCACCAAGAATCACCCGGTTCACACCAGCTTTGTTTCATGTTTTGCACTGTCCTCACCACAACTACAAAGAGGATCTCCCAAGGGAAGTGGTGGTAGCATCAATGCAGCTGCTCCTTCAGATGGGTTACAGCTCTCTGAGAAATCTCCAAACAATTCCCAGTGGTTATGGACACCTGCACACACCCAGACACTCTGTCCTGCAAGGTACCCTGAATACCAAGAGGGGAACAACTATCCTTTCTCATGCACTTCAGAGGTGTGAAATGTGCCTGTACTCTCAAAACCCAACAGACCTGGTTAAAGCTCTGGTTTGTGCTGCAGGCCAGAGGTTGCCAGTATTTTTTGCTCAATAAGCAGCAGCAAGCACCACCCCCAGATGTACATACAAATAGGGGGAGGTGTTTGGTTTCTCGACCAACACTTGCATGTCACAGTATTGCAGTTTAGAAGTCGTGACTGCTGAGTGTAACGCTGCTTTAGATGCTCCCTATGTGGTGTGACTGCCAGAGCTGTCCCTAAACACTGCACACAGCTGTGACTCATGATGTGTAACACAGAAGAAGATTTGTCCTGCAGTCAGGCACCTCCTGCTGCAGCCAAGCTCACCTCATCACCTCCTCAAACTTCTGTTACAACAGCACAGGATTTAGCCTGGAGAATGTTCTCTAGATCATCGATTCAGCAGTGAATTGCTCTCGACACAGCCTGCTCTGCAAAATGGCTCAGGTTGCTGCAAAGTGTCATGAAGTAGCAGGTTGTTTTGAGGTGTGACATTTGTGTAACTAACAATGTCCTCTGACATCAAGGTAAGTGAAAAACAGTGTTGAGCCAATCTGTGCTGCAAGGCAGACCTCAGTAAGTCCAAGTGTCTGCACATCCACAGTTTGGCTCAGCATTTCAGTCAGCACTCACAGGAGTACAGACATTCCCATTCAGAAGATCTGAGGGTCTCCTACCTGAGGTTGCTGCATAAGAAGATCCAAGATACCCCTCAGGGGACGAACTACTGTGTAATTTGGTGACTTCCTTGCCTGCTCAGTTACTAGCCACTGGTATGTATACCTCCTCCTGGGAGACCAGTTTCATTGTGAGGGTAACTCCAGTGACTCCAGAAAAGACATAGCACTGAAAACCAGACACTTGTTTATTTATAAAATCATTTCACTATGGAAACTCAGGATACCAAACAGGACAATTTTGCTGAGTGTTTGGGCATTATTTTTTATCCTAAGGACAGGGATGTGTATGCATGGTGAGGAAGGTAGCTGCATGTAGAGCAGCGAGCAGTTAATTCTTGTTTTGGGAGCATTCTTTAGTCCTGCAAAAATAACAAAGAGTAGTTCAATATTATTGCAGGCCTTCTGGGAACTTCTATGCAGTTTGTAGGCAAAAGCCTGTCAGAGACTAGCTAATACTAGCTAGTGCTACTACAGCCGGTACTGAGCTGTCAAAGCAAGAATGGGAGGAGCACTGAGGGATGGCACAAGAAAGTCTAATTGCACAGTTCCAGCTGCAACTCAGTCTCTGACACACTGAACTACAACTGGAGTGGCAAAGGCTGGAGGAGAAACTCTGCAGAGCAAGCCTGACTGTAAAGGCTCTGACAGCCTGGAAGATGCACTGTGGGGTTATGTGATGTTTCCCCAGTGTGCTGGGCAGGTGATGCCAGAGTGCAGCTGTACCTGGCTCACAAAGAACAGCAGTTCTCTAACTGCAGCACAGCAATCAACTCGGGGGCTGGCAACAGCCAGAGTCCTCTGGCTCATCCTGTACCCAGCTGTGCAATAGAAATGAAATACTTTCAGAATATTCTTTGTATGCAACTGGTGCAGCTGTTGTGTGGATGCCATGCAAAAAGGGAGAAGGGGTCTCTGCACAGAGCACCTCTCACAGAGGTGGCATTATGTGAAAACACTTGAGCACCACAAGGCTGGGCTGGAGGCAGGAAATTCCTTGTGAAAACTTTCAAGTATGGTGTAGGTGCAAGTAAGGAAAAAGCTCAGACTCCCTTCCTTCAGGCTTTACCTGTTGCAACACACAGGAGAGGCACAAAGCCGGCACACATCAACACCTGATTGCTTCCACCCAAAGCACTGGGAAAGCCACCCCAGAGGGGTCAGAGCGGGACAGAGCAGGGCGCAGCCCCGCCGGGAACTCGGGGCTCTCCGCGGCAGCCGCTGGCAGGACAGCTAATTAGCAACAAGACTTTGTTCTCCTCGGAAAATAATCGGGCTCAGTCCTCGACGGCAGGACGCCCCTCCCAGCCAGCAGCGCTTAACAAAGCCCTAATTATGTAAGTATTATATAACCCGGCACACCTGCCCCCCCGCGCCGGCCGCGGCACCCGCGCCCGGCCGCCCCTCGGCCCTCTCCGGTCACAGCAGCGGCCAGCGCGACAGCGGGACCAGCCTTTTGTCCGCCTGTCCACACGGGACCACCACGGCTGTGGGAGCTCCCAGCCGGGCACTGCGCCCCGGCCAAGCGGGCAGCGGGAGCTGCAGCCCCGGCCCGGGCTGGCTCCGCTGAGCACAGCAGGGACCGAGCCCCGACTCTGCTGCGGGCCCAGCGCTGCTGCCAGGCCTGCTGTCCTGCTGAGTCACAGCCGCGCTACTGCCAGGCACAAAGGCGTCCTTCGGGCTGAGCTGCTCTCAGGGGAGCTTCCCTCACCTGTCAAAAAGCACGTACATCTTCATTCCCCTTGCTGATTTATCTAGGAGTTAACCACCCCAGTCTGTCGTTCATACTTGTCGCTGTAACCAGACACAGAGTCTGTCATGTTGGTATAACAAAGAGCACTGCTTGAAGTCTGAGTAATGTGTTTTTCATTTCTCTAAGTATTAGTAAAACGATCGCTCGCTGTGGGCTCAGGACACCTACGTGAAATCTGCAGATTGCTGGTGAGGGATGGCAGGCTGCCTCTGTCCCCAAAGCAGGACCAGAGGATGGAGGGAAGAGATGAGCTCTAAAAAGAAAAAGCCACCAACACTGACTCCATGGGCCAGAGCATGAGCAGGGAGCCAGACCCTGAGCACACACAAGTCAAGCCCATCTCCAGTCTCCTTTGGCAAGAAGTAAGCCCTAATCAATGGAAACCTTTAAAAGATAAATTACAAGGCAGCACTGCCCTTCTTTTTTCCTTCAGATATCTTTTAGCATATCAGTTGCTGATGAGGTTATGCTGCAGAATAAAACTCCTTTCCTGGCCTGAAGGAATCTTTCAGGAACAAAAGGCAGCAGAATTGAAGGGCAGGAGCAAGGAATACACCACCCAGAAACCAAAGGGAAAGGAAGCAGCCACAAAGTGCCGAGAGGCAAACTGGAATATCAAACAGCCAACTTTGGTGACAGGCGATATATCTTCTAACCCTGGGATTATGCAAGCAGAACCAGGCCCCAAATACCCAAGAGATCTTGTTCTGGCTGGGCCTCAATGCTGCGGACGCTGAGACCCGGGTTACATAAACACCAAAGAGCACTTATATAACTGTTGTATGGCACAGGCTCGCAGCCTCTGGCACCCCATTGCCACTGGAGTGTGGCGGGTACCTGCTCTGGCACCCAGCCCCTCCAGGACCTCCTCCTGTCCCTGCACAAGCCCCTGGATGCAGCCCAGGTGAGGTGCCCATCAGGTCGTCCTCCCTTTCGCAGGCACCACAGGCTCATGGTTACTCTGGAGCACTGGGCAGTCCTGTGTCCATTTCCAGCTCCAATATGCTCAAAAGAGGGTTGTGAAACTTCAAATCAAGCATTTTCATAGTGCTTTGATTCGGCAACACCTGGAGAGATACAGAATGCTGCTACCTGCCATCCCCCTTCTAGATATGTAATCAAAACTATTTTTCTTGATGAAAGTCCTCCAACCTAAACTGCTCCCTCCTGCCATGCCCTCTCTCTTTTGCAGACACTGTGGGCATTAGTGAAGACAGGGAAACAAAGACAGGAAAGGCACCCACTAAGGTAGAGAGGGAAGCAGGGATCAGTCCCATTTGTTCTTTAGCCAGGGGTGTGCGAGAGCAATGAGTTACATAAAACTACTGCTCTGGAGTCAGGAAGTGTTTCAGGCTGAGTGCTGGAAGTTTTCAACAAGCTGTGCGCAGGAGGGAACTGAAACCTCCCCTTTCTGGTTATCCCAGTTAACTAGTAACCCAGAATAGAGTTTTGTCAGCCAGATTACGAAAATTACCATGGGGATCTAAACCACAAGTAACCGGATTTAACCTTATTTATTTTCACAAGAGTTCAACTCTTTAAAAAAAAAGAAATATGATCTAGTTTACTGTGGTGGTTAAATACTGATTTAGGTAACAATGATAAATTTCCCCTTTCCAGCGTCAGAAAATAGATGCATACGGGGGCTTGACACATTCCAAGCACAGTGAATCCAGCTGGCTGCTACCATGACTCTTCTAGGGATAAATTTCAGGGACTAAGAAAAGAGGACGAGTAGGGGAGCAAGCATTCTGCATTATGCAATGATTACATAAGCATTAATTTACACTAGGTAGCTGGGAGTTGTAGCTTTATACCAGCATACCCTCAGAGCAATGAGAAATAATAAAGAAGGGATTATTGCTGCCACACACTTCCAAGGCCACCAAAACGGCAAACAAACAACAAGCACCAGTTGAACTTTAATCTCTCCCTCAAACTCACACCACAGCTTTGCTCAGGACCTGCTAACAAGGACAGGGAGAAGAGGAGAAGACAGGTGACACTCACTCCTAATTTAAAAGAGTAGCATGGGAAATAATCCCAGCTCAAGGCATCCTCCAGCATCTGAGTCCTCCTTTGTTGTTGCTCCTGATGGCAATGGTGTAAGAGAGGAGTGATTTCAAAATTATAATAGTGTCATTTGTACCCTAGTCAGTGTCAAAGGAGTTCATGGCCATGATGAGCTCCTCACAGTAACCTGTGAAACACCTTCCTGTCCATCTTGCAGAAGAGGAAACTAAATCAAAGCAATCAGGTAGGCATCAGTGCTGAGTAACTCAAGTTATTGGCTCTCTGTCCTATGCTCTAACCAAAAATTCTCTTTCTTCTCCTCAAATATAATTTCCTGCTTCAAAAAAACAAAACACAGGTGTGGATTTTTTTTAGAACTGTAACAAAGCACAGAACTTCAGCTACATTCCCTTTTTCTGCCTCAGTCTCTAAAGTAATTTCAGAGGAATTTTTAAGGACTCTGTTTAATGAGGGAGGCATCACTTGGGAGAAAAATTCAAATTGTTGAGTTTGAGCCTGTGTGCCACCGCATTCCACTGGCACTTCTCCCATCGACTGCAGCCAGAAAAGTGACCGAGAGCACTGGAGAAAGTTAATAAGACCAGGATGAAACACCATGGCTGAAAGAACAATCTGTTTCTAGTTTTCCTTTCCAAAGTATTCATGCTGCTAAAGGAGTTTGCCAAAAGGCTGCAAAGTTGTTCGTGGCAATCAGACTCAAGCAAATTGAAGTCACAATATGACAAGAACCCCCTCACCCAAAATACCCAACACCCTAAAAGCTAAGCACATTACAGCCTGGAAAAGAAGCAGGCACCTGTTCCTTCGTAAGGTTGCTAAAATGACAATTATCTCAATGGTCAAAAAAGAAATATATCTGTATATCAGGAGGAATCAGGGGTCTTTACATAAAAGACATTTTTCTTGCAGGACAACAGGGGGATAGGTAGTGTGCTGCAACAAACCTTGATTTACTAGCTGGTAGGTGCTACCATAAAATAATTAAAATTTGCTCTAATTTTCCAGAAACATTTTTAAAATAACAAAAAGCTATCACAGTGCTGCATATACAGGTGCTTGCTACTTTGAAGTAGCAAAGAAGTGCTCAGGCACCTGAAGTGAGGAAAAGCCATACAAACCAGAGAAGAGAAGAAACACTGCTCAGTGGTTGAAGCACAAAACCAGGGAAGAACATGATGTGTAAGTTCTGCACAGACTCACTCAGTGACCTTGTACAGTTTATCATCTCTCTTGGGACAGGAGGGTTGTGCAGAAATGTGATGGAGACTCTCCTGGATCCAGCAGCCAGAACAGAACCTCATTAGATCAGTTTAAAAAGCTTCCTCAAAGAGAGAGAATTTTGTACTGCCAGAGACTTTGGTAGGGACTGTGACAAACCGTGCCCCAGACTCTACAACTTGACGAGTACAAGGAGGAGTTAATTTGCACTTTTGCTCTCTTACTTTTGTACAAATACCTTTCCACCCAAAATTTTTGAAAGGCCTCTAACCTTGTATTCTCCCTCCGTCTATGACCTACAGTCTCACTTCCAAAAGCATCTTTCCCTCCCTGTCTTCTCTTTTTATACGTATTATCTAGACTAAGTTACATAAGCCACTTGTATCATCACCCAGATTCCTCATTTATCTAAACTCATTTTCTACTGTAATTCCTTTCTTTTCTCAGTTCACATTCTCCCAGAATTAGCTTCTTTGTCCTGTCACCACAACCAAAGAAATAAGATGGATTTTTTTTTAGAACCCCCCTCTTCCCACTAATGGGTAACAAATATTGCATGGCTTATTTCTATAAAAACTCCTCATGACAACCACACTGCACTTCTTCAATAAACCAAGAATCCAGAGCTGGAACTCCTGGAGACCATTTCTGATCAGTCTGTTAGGTTCATAGCATGACTTTGGAAGTATTTGCCACATGAATAACATGCCAGAAGCTTGGCATCACAAAATACCTCACCTCAAAGTAAGAAGTTAAATTACAAATTTAGAAAGTTCTTCAAATCTGAACCAAGTTTTTTCTCCAACACACAACATCTTCCCACCAGCAAACAAATTAAGTGGCAGCTATCCCCAAACTGTAAATTCCTGTTAGGATTTCACCAGCATCTTCCATTTGATAGGGGGGAAAATAGCCAAGTAGCTTTTAGTCTCTTAGGCACTAATTCGGGGATCTGGAGCAAGCACCAACAGCTCTGCCTGGTGCCCAGATTGCTGCCCGGTCAGCAAGTCACCAAATATTTCACTGACAAAAGAAGCTCTTCAAACTCTTATCAAGTAGGATGTTGCAGGGAAAGCATACACATAAAGTCAAAGGGGGAGGGGGAGAGGACACTGGATATAAAATGAAACTGCTATTAACAACTGCCTCCTCTCTTGGAAAAAATAACTTTCACAGCATCACAACACAACAGCAGCAGAAACACTAACAGCCAGACCCAGAATGTCACATCACCAAAGACTTCTGAATTATAGGCACAAAGAGTGAGATTCCTTCTCATGTCTTCTCCATCAGGCCAACAGGCACTGTAAGGCTGTGAAATCTCAACCTCTTCCAT